TTTGAAAGATAAGTTCTATTTAAAACTACATAATTTTACTTTTAATATTAATTGAACTAAGAAAATATAAAGAATTTTATAATCAAATTCTTTAAGAAAACTTTAATTTCACTTTCAAAAATATCTTTGATTTAATCAGTATACAATAAATGTGAATGTAATAGTAATCAATTTAATGTTTTAGGCAAAACTAGTTTCATCAAATTGATCTGCAAAAATCTTTTCATATTTAGGATTTTAAAGATTTCAGATAGTTTCAGATCATAGAAAAATTCTCTGGGCGAAACATTTTGGAAGTTGAAAAATAGTTTCATCTGAAACACTAAATCAATTTTGATAAAATAAATAAAATATAAAAGTAGCACTATAAAATTTTAAATAAGATGTAAAAGCTGACTGATATTACATCAAATATTATTATTTTGTTAAAATAATAAGATTTAATTACTGAAACTTAAGAAGATACTGATGTCTATTTCTAACAAGATTTATCATAATCCTTTCTCTAAAATTCTCATTAAAAGTATCTTATATATTTAATAAATTATATGCTATATAAGGTGAAAATTAAGAATATGATAATTTTATTTTATATATTTATTTTTTTACTATAAAATCAAAAAAAAATATCATTTTAATATCTTTTTTTTTGATAAAATTAAATTTGTTTATTTTTACTTAATTTTTATTTAAATAAAATAAATAATACATTTTATTTAGTATCTTATAAATTGACCAATTAACTAATTAATCAATTAATTTAAGTAAATTGAATAGTTTTAATTCTCATATAATAAAGAAATCATTTTTATCCCTATATAAAATATCAAAATATATTCTTAATATATATTTTAATTTTTTTAATCAAGAAATAAATTCAAAAAAAGGAAAAAATAAAGATTAAACATTTTCTTCTATTATTTTTTTTTTTTTATATTTATTTTATATATATAAATATATATCAGTTTATTTATTTAAATATAAATTAAATATAAAATTTTAATTGATTTGTCTATTTTTACTTAATTTAGTAAGCTATAAGTATAATATATTGTTAAAACAATATTAAAACTTAAATATGTATAGTAATGATTATTTAATAATTATCTAATTGTATTATATGAGATGATAAATATAGGCTAAAAAACTTAAATTTGATTAGTTATTAATTTAGATAAAAGTTTAATCATCAATTTTCTTTCTTTTTAATCTTTTACATTTATTAATACTAAAAAAAATTCAGATGTCTTTTTATTTTATTTTAACTGATTAAAAATTAATTACACATAATTTAAATGAAAATGATTAATATTATATTAAATCTTATAATTTATAGTTTTTCTCTTTTTCAAAATGATAAAACATAGATTTTCACCTTTTTAACCCATATGTAAAAGGAAAAGAACAACCTTTTTTTCCTATAATAAATAAAAAGCGAAGGTACTGTTTAATTTTTTTTGATAATAAAGTAAACTAAAAAAAATTAATTAATTTTAAATAAAAAATTAAGGAACAAATAATAGATTTATGTTAGATAAATATAACTGCCTATAATGATAATTCATCTTTTTTATAGTTAATAATCTACTTTTTCTCTTAAGTAATTTCATTTTCTTAAAAATTAAAAAATATGAATTTTTGAATTTTTTACTAATATTTTATCACATTTTTTAACATTACATTTTCAACACAGAGCTCCCTAAACTATCACTAAATTATCAGAACAATTCAGAAATTATACGAAAAAATACCAATATGGTCATGACGTTACTATGTGAAATATTTTTTGTTTTTTTTTTTGTTTTTTTCCGATTACTTTTTGCGTCCACTGTAGTCCAATCAATATTAATTTGATCCAAAAATTTTTTATAATAAGACAGTACATTACTTAAAAAAAAACGCAGTTTACAAAACTTTATTTAATGAGTTCGTCATTTGACTTTGACCAAAGCAAGAGGCCAATAGCAACGTTCACCACGAATAAATATAGTGCCATTCGAAGGTTTGAGTGTTCAAATAGGACGACGATTTCGCCGGATGTTGGACCACCGGCAACCTATAATCCTAGAGCAATATACACAAGCAGACCTTTGAACAGTTTGATAAAGTTTGTAATGTCTACAAGTGAGTATTTTAAATCATATTAAGTATTTTGACGCTTTCGTTCAAGCTTAATAATATTTAACAATTTATTCTTTCGAAAGTTTGACGATTCGATAGAAATAAAAGAATGTAAGAAGAAGAATAATAGGATGAAAATCATGGTTAATATTATCGCATTTCATTTTTTTAATTTAATTATAGGTTAAACACAAATCAACAATAAAAAAAATGTGCCAAAGGACAATCAAAAAAAAAAGCCCATGAAAATTATAATCAATTATGGGATGTTATACGAATATTTTTTTTTGGAATGGAAATACAAAGGCGGGAAATAGCATAATATCACGTGATAACATCAAACATAATAAAACAGAAAATTAGACTCTTTTTTTCAATTCTTTAAATCGCGTGATCTACGTAAAATAAATTCTTCTGCGGTCCACATTTTTTTTTTTTTTCGTTCAAAAATCATTTCTACTTTTCAATAAGAATTCCTTTTTTTTTTTTTTATTTTTTAAAAAAAGCCAACTCTCCAAAATTGTTATACTATCTTTGTTAATTTGACAATGCATTATTATAATATATATGCGTTGTAAATATGACAACATAAAATCTCAATCGCCTATCGCAAATGTAAGGCAAATCCTTTCTGGCAGGATTTTTTTTTTTTGACACATTTTTTTTTTTTCTCTTACATCTTTATAGAATAAGGAATTTACAATCAACCACAAAAAGAAAAATGCAAAACACCTTACATATTATATTCGAAATCACATGATCATGACTAATGAACAATGAACAATAAAGTCGTATCGTCATTGTACTTGTGCATGGTATGCATGTAAAAAATTTTTTTTTTAAAAAAGTCATTGAGGAAAGGAAAAAAAAAAAAAAAACGGTATAAAAATAGAAAAATATGGGAATGAGAAATAAAATAAAGAAAAAGGCTTTGAGCCAAGCTGTGATCCAAACAAAATCGCGTGCGTACAGGAATTTTTTTTTTCTTTTTTTTTTAAAAAAAAAGGGGGATTCTTTATTATTATTATTTTTCTTCTCTTGCAAACGAATTCATTTAAATTATACATATCACAAAAAAAAAATAAGATAAAAAAAAAAAAAAGAAAAAAAAAATGTCGGCTTATTACTTTCTATCCCCTCGTTATAGACGAAGTGACATCGAAACAGCTAGTTTAAACAGCGTCATAGATCCAAATTCGCCAGGATTTACCACCAAATTAATAAAATCGCCGGCACTAGGCCTATTGAATAACAAATATAGATTACACGTTATAACTAAAAACAATTCCAATTCCAATCCCAATTTGTTCTCGCATAGAATTTGTTATAACACGGGAAATAATGCTTATTATGAAAATGGTATATTCGATAAAAAGTATTTAAAATCATGGAGAAAAGGGTGCTTGGAATACGATAACATCGCTTATAAAGTTGAGCTTGATCGGCGAATGTAAGTTTTTAAAGAAAAAAGGTGAATCTAAAAAAAAAAAAAAATGATTTAAAGTTCTGTTCTTTTTTTTTTTAACAAAAAAAAAGAGAATAAAAAAGAAGCCTCACCGAATCCTTTTTATAGGGTGTATTTAGCGAGAGAGCCTGATATTGAAAGATTAACCGAATCGGGTTATATAATTTGGCAATTTGATTATCGTTCCGGAAATTTCATAATTACTTCTTTAAATCTTCGGTTGCAACATTGCATATTTGATGAATCCGCCTCGGTAATATGGTCAATCTCTCCATTACCGACACGTACAAATCCAAACCCAACCTTTCATTTAATCACGCCCGATCTGCTCACGTGTAACACGCCTAATGATGAGTATGAATGTCAAAGGGATAATACCTTGAAAAATGCTTCGTCATTGATAAAAGGAGAATACGGATTCAAATTAAAGGTTGAATTAATCGGGGGTGGCATGACTGATATGGCATGGCAAAAAGCTCAATTATTCAGACAAAAAAGGATCGCTGGAAATGACGCTTTGGTGGATGATGATGAGACCTTTGGATTTGATGTTAAAGTTGAATTGACACCTGATATCGTATGCGATCCTTTGCCTGAAATTATACAAGAGGACGGAAAGGAAATTATATTTAATGATAAAGAGACTAGTGATTTCATTATTTCGCTAGAGACGGAATCCAAGGATTACTACGTTCACACGGCCGTATTGTCTTCAAGATCAGATTATTTTAAAGCTCTTTTAGATTCAAACATGATCGAGTCAAACAATAGATCTTTAATTCTTAAGGAAATTTCCTCGATAACCTTAGATACATTACTAAAGTTCATGTATACCGGCGAGATTACTTTTGAATTGGATTCCATCGAGGATTGGATCGATTTGATGTACGGGGCTTCCAGGTTCCAGATTCCTACCTTAATTCAAAGATGTGAAAAGGCGCTAAAAGAATTGGTGGATGAAGAGAATGTTGAAGATATTGAAGCGATTGCAAGAGATTGTGGTGCAGAACAATTAATAAGATATTTTGATATGTTACTGGACGTGGATGATGAAACCACCAATTCCTCTGATGAGGATAAGAATAAGTTGAACATAGGGAAAAAGAAGGCTAATAAGTCGACGAATATAGGAGTAGCCAGCTTAAGAAATATTTTCCGAAGGAAGAATAAAAAAATACACTAATTTTTAAAAATATCATCAATTTATTTATTTCGTATTGTAAAATTTATTATTTTTTTTTTTCAAAAAAAAAAAATAAATTTTGTAAAATATTGACAATAAATAAAAATATATATATATATATTAAAATACAAATTCTTTAAAATTACACTTCTCTTAATTTGTCGCTAAAGTCTTGATATTGAAAAGGAATAAATTTTTATTCTAATAACAGCAAAGTAGAAAACAGGTATTTTATACAACTTTGGCAACATTATCAATTTTGACCTGATCAGGTTTCTTAAGATCTTGAGCGGGAATTTTTCCTTCTTTACCAATAATCTTAATGACTTCAGGACCTGTTCTCTTTGACGATTGCTTCGATTTATATTTTTTAAATAAAATGAATCCCGCAACTGAAACTATTAGAAAACCAAACACGCCACCAAGTATCATTCCGATTGGTTTTTCAGTTGGGCTACTTTTTTTATCTTCTGAAGGAAGAACGTAAGTTTCTCTAGGAGGAGGAACGATATTAATGGCACCCCACATTCCAGCAGTCCTACAATGAGTACCCACGGCACACATATAATAATATGTATCATTTGTTTCTTTAATAACGATCTCAAACATTTTGCTTGGTGGATTCGTTTCGGATCGAACTAGGAAAGAATGCAAAAGGTAAGGAGAATAAAAAAAGATATTAGCTTGTGTATATATGTATATGTAGATAGATTTTAATGAAATGTCACGCTTACAAGCTTCTGGCCTAGAAAGCATTTCACATGAGCCCTTATAAGACATTTGAACAACGTTATGATTTCCTCCAATAAATTTCCATTGAATCTAATTACCGGACTCGGCTAAAAATGTTTAATAACCAATCAAAAAAAAATTTTTTAAACTTTAACACTAAACTTTTGATTAGGACA